AAGCAAGGAAGCAAGGAAGCAAGGAAGCAAGGAAGCAAGGAAGCAAGCTTCTTCATTTGAACATGGATTGGAATAGGATCCAGTACCACTGCTGCTGAGTTTTGATCCTGAGCTATTTATAACTTAGCTCTAGCCTAATTGGCCATGACATACACAAAATAAATATACTTGAAATTCAATATATTAAAATCTTTTCTGCAGTGTTTCTATTTACTACATTGGAGCAGCAGTCTATTAACCAAAACAGGTCTGTTCTTACAGCAACTGTTAACAATAGATACATGGTATTAAACTCATTAAACTAATTACAGGTGAATCCAAGTTAAATACTTTTATCTAGGGCTGTCACTGTTTTCATATGGATAAACTGATCTTGTTCTAGTACTGAAGTTAGTTGGTGACACTGTGATTACAACTGTTTCTATACTATAATGAGTTCAGAGGAACAACAAAATTATGATTTTAAAAAAATCCTTCCAGTCAAGGTCCTTAATATCTTGTTATTTACAATAAAAAAAATTTGGGACATACCAAGTCCCACAATTAAATTCCAGATTGTAGCCCAAACAAATCTCCCGGATACAGGATTCAATCATATTTATTATTTATCATATTTATCTTTATGATATATAGTTAGTAGTTCTGTATAGGGCTCATATCAGAATGCAAAGATGTTGTGCATGTTCAAATCCAATGTCTCAAGGCACCTATAGACAAAAGTTGGCAAGACTAACCAAAGGACATGTCACAATCCCTCCATAAAATAAAACCTCTGACAAGTAAGTATTCTCTCTTGATTTGGAAAATCCAATATGAGAGGCAACAAAGAATGCTGACTTTAGACTAAGCAGTGTGAGCTTTCTGGACAATACATGATGAGTATAGTATGGACTATAGAAACTGGGACTGCCAAAACATTCTGTTTAAATGTTTATAATATTTATAAATGACCCACCCTATCCAGAGATTTTCTGGTAAGTTACAATCCACAAAAAGTAAAATACAAAAGACCAAGTAAAATGACTACCAAATTCATTTAAAATATATAATAATAAACAGGAACATTTACAGAGAGGCACTAGGGACAAAAGATAGTAACAGGCAGGTAAAGCATTGAGAAGTTGGGGGATAGCCATTCCAGGATGACAGATTGGAAAGTTAATTGCCAATCCATTTCAGGCCCACAATCTCAACTCATGAACCAAGCATCCAAACTGCTGAGTTCCTCAGACTCAGATTGATGCCTTTGTTTTTTATCATTTTATTTTATCAGATATTTTAAAGCTCAACCAAGAAAAAATAAGAAACAAAGGGGAAAGTAAAGAGAAATAAAAATTCTGTCTTCCCCAGCTGTGTAAAAGTGAACAAGCATTTTCAAAGCAACATTAGATTAATACTACATATAAGATAACTACTTTTACTATGCAGCCTCCTTGATTTCTTCCACCATTTCAAGAACAGCATGTTGATCAGATGGGTAATACCATATCCTAGATCGAATTACATATGTCACTGAAAGTTATCCCTAATAGTATTTCTGCTGAAAAATCCAGACTTCTCTGTGTTTTGTATGAAATTTGTATCTAGGAATGACTACATCCTACTGATTCTCTTCA